TAACAAAATATATTTTTATCAAACTAATTATATTTTACCAGACAATGATATTGGAAAGTTGAAATTGAAATGATCGAGAAATTTAGTTTTTAAAATTTTTGGTTTATGGTATAGTAAACAGACAGTTTACGAATGTCTTTATTAAGAAGAATTATTATTATTATTAAATGCTTAACAGCCCATCAACACATAAGAGGTCATTAGGGCCAATACAAGAAGACAAAACATATTAAAGGAAAGACATCAAACGAACGAACAAGTAAAAGACAAACGTCAACTTGAATACATTGTAAACGTGGCTATTATTTAGTTTTTAGATAGTCTAAAATTGAAAATACAGTTATGATTTCGAAAACAGATTTAAGACATGTAATGTATAGTATTATAGACATTTTCTTGAGTTGAATGAAGGTCGACACAACCTTATAGCAAGTGTATAACGTGTCTGTGTATAAATATTAATTGCAACAACAAATCAAAGTTTCACTTTTACTTTTCGTTGAAATCGTGAGGATGTCGTTGTTATTGACGGAGACAAACTCCAACCAGACCAACATAAACTGCACATGTGAACAACATTTAAGTAATTTCCGTTGCTACCTTACAATGCTCTCGAATCTCCGATCAATACAGACGCACATACAGTAACAGGTACCCTCATAAGTAAGCAACGAAACCAGACATGCAGTGACTGAACATGGTAAACTTATCCGGTGTCGTTATCTAATTATAAAATATTACCTTCGCTTAAACTCGTATGTTATATCTAAAAATAAAAATGACAATATTTATTTTACCCCTTCACATTTGCGATAATATGTATATATTTATCAGTTATCGACTTGTTGAGGTTAACATGAGGAGATATAGACCCGATAAGGATATATTGACCGAGGTGAAGAGCATTGCATTTAGCAGAGAGCATCGTGACGTGACAATAGAAGTGACGTAATGGAGAATATTAATTTGTCGGTTCTAAAAATATGATTCAACCAATGAGAATGTAGGGAAAATGCTGTCATTTTATAATAAATCGATTTCAATGCGAAAACATTTTATATCCTCAATGTAGCACTATCCCGTGTATATACCATCCTTACATTTCAGATAGTAATATGAAACATCGAATGCCACGTTCAAAAACCAGAAATACTTTATTTCAGATTTTATTCAATTAGTCTTATCAACTTCAATTAATGTCTGATAGTCAGCAATTGCTTAGTCGATGCGAGGGGAAATTTGAATTTACGGGCTTTCAATGTCGACAAAAAACAAGTACAAAACATCTGTAATCGAACAATCTCTTTCAAATAAAGGTCGACGTTTTATTCTGCGATATATTTCCATTCGTCAAATTTGATTTTCTCCTTTGATTTGAAAGCAAACGTGCATTACCTCTGAATATTGCATCCAACTCTCCTGCAAAAGTTGTTTTTCATATTCTAACTTGTTCCATCAAAATTTGTTTATAACCATTTGTCAGTGTTTTCAAGAGGAGAAATAAAGCACGGGGGTAATTTTGGCAAATACCCGGGGCAACAATTACATGAAGGAGTGGCGACTCAGTTACATTCTCCAGGAAATTTTGACAAACGGAAAGAGCAACTGTTTCAGGGCATTACTCAAAGATCGGTACACATATTCTGTAAATGAAAGGCACAGTTATAGCCTGATGGTCTTAATGTAACATATACCGGTCTTAAGTGTACTATTTAAAGTTCCAAATATCCAAGAAACAACCGATCAACACATCCATACTGTTGTGGTAATCCATCAAGTGACATTTTGATAGTGATGAATAGTATTCTGTTAATGGAGGTACAGTTGTGGGATGGTGTCACGCGATGTGCGCATGGTGTGTGCACGATGTGTGCACGATGTGTGCACGATGTGCGAACGCTAAAAGTCTGGACGATTATTGCTTACGCACATTTGTGCGGACGATGGACGAATGTTGTGCGATGACAATCGTGGTTGGTGTTAATTGATAAATAGCTTTACAATTTATAAGGTTTCGTGTTTAAACACATAAACTTTAATTTTTAACAATGTTTCTATATTCTAGCTACATATATAAACTTTTTCTTAAATTTAGAAAAGGTGTTCGGTGTTTTTTTAAACGACCCAAATCGACACATGTAGTAAAATTATAACATATATAGACACGTTCACACGTTCACAATTACGTGACAGATTTTATGATGTACCGTCTATGAAAAGATTATTCAATACAGTTTCTGTGCAATTAATGTTTGACTATTTACACTCTATTGATCTTTACAATAAAATATTATTTATTGTGCACCCAATTTATTCGATATTGATGTATTTATTTCATCCTTTACATGTTTTAAGCTATTAAGTATTGGAATGATGTGTTTATTCTCGTTAATGTCTCTTTTTGTTGGCCCTAAATGACTTACATTGTCGATGGGCCGTTAAACAATAAAAAAAACATATACAGGTAAACATAGCCATTCGACATGTACGTGGATCGTAGTTTCCCAACCCGGGGTACTTACATAACTCGTCAAGGTGAGCGAGAGTCATCAGAAAGAAGAAAGTTGTTTAGAAAGAAGAGAAAAGATAAGATCCCAAATTTAGTCGGCTCTAACGATCATGCAATTGGGGCAGCAGGTACGATTTTTACGCCCTATCTGCAGGGACCGAATTACTAAATTTGGGATCTCATCTTTCTTTCTGAACAACTTTCTTCATTATGTCTCCCTTGACAATGCCTCACTTTTTGCCTTGGGTTCTGTCCCCTGGCCGAGACATACCAGAGTCTGTAAAAATAATAGTTTCTACTCCTGCTTAACGCTCAGCAATTTAGGAGTGGGACGACTGGTTCGCCCGTTGTCATTATAATGTGAACGGTTGAGTGTCCTGCTGGGTGTCTTCGGCAGTATGTTTCAGTGAAGTAGCACTATAAAGTCGGTCTCAGTTCCGCGCTATCACAAGGAGACAAACACGAACATATCGAAGCCTCCCAAAACGTACACGCATACTTTACACGCATGTATCCTGCACACAGGGGGGGGGGGTGTAAACAATACTAAATAAAACCAACCCAAGCGCAGGGCGCTAGGTAAAACTCCGGTCATTCATCAAGATAGTAATTACATGTTCTGTTACCTGATAGCCAAACCCATTCTGACAGTCCAACAGTCACTTTAATATTGTATAACACCCATTGCAAAATTGAACATTTTTATCTTAATTAATATAATGAGGAGTTCATATATACAGTGTTCCTTATTCCATACCAGCCATCCGGACATTTTTTCGAAATATTGATCGACCAATTGTCCTCAATCGTACATTTGTGCGGAGAGAAGCGCACAATGGGGAAAACGATTGTTAAATCGCACAGTAGTGCGCACCATGTGTGGATGATGTGCGGACGGTGTGTGCACGATGTATTCACGATGTGCGCACGCTATATTTGGTGCGTTGTTTGTTCACACACCTGTACACTGTATACCTGATAGAAGTATATTGATACAAATGTCCTGTGATAATAGCTCGCTATTAACAGTAAAATCATCTAACTTATTAACTATCTTTTAATTGTATTATATCTAATTCAGGTAAGAAGCTGTGGTTTCAAAAGACGTCACACACTACGATTACAGATTCTATATATTTTGTCAATCAATATTTACTGGAATTAGAGACATTCACAGCTGGCTAGTTCTCAGTATGGAAGAAGATCAACGATTATGTTTGAAAAATCACTATTTATTCAAATAAACACAACAGCTTTTTTTGTTATAAAACAACAAACTCTTCTTATTGTTCTACACAAAAGTCAGGTTTAACAGATTCCCTCAGTAAGATTCAACAGTTTAGAAAAATGTATGTATCGAAGTTTTACTTTATACACAAACAATTTACATATTGCATCGTTTCAATAACGACTGATCGTTTGTCAGCCTTTCACGGAGGGACTTTTATTTACCTGTACGACAATGTGACAATATTGTAAACTTTATAAGTCGCTCGACTACGGGAAATGCTGATTATAAATACAACATTAATCCACACTGAACCGAATAAGCTAGATCTAGCCCCTCTTCCGTTTATGTCAGTAGGGTTATACGGGTGATTTCGCAGGTGCCCCTCGTTTCTGTTTAGTTTTGTCATGTGTATTTAAAGAATTATAAAAATGGTCCAAACTGCAGTTCATAACAAAACAGTTAGTGTTGACCTCTTTGGGAAGGAGATACATTAGGCTGTATCTTTAAAGACCCTCGTACTACTACCAAATACTGGATGTTTGCTTTGATAAATAAATTCTGAAAAGAAAAACATACCTCGCGAACTTTTATATGAATAAAAAACCACAAAATAAATGACATGCAACGGGGCAAACAAATGATTCGAACCCTTGACCTTTGGTCATTTTACTGTCGCTCTGGTAAACTGAGGTACCTGGTCAACGGTTCTATGAAACCCCCAAAAATGATATCACTGTCTGAACTGAATTTATCCCACTGCTTAATTAAACACGATATAAATATTGGTGACTAAGACACTCGTGAGGGGCCTAGGACGCCAATGTTCAATAAAATCCTTATTCGCTTAAAAAGACACTTAACTGGTTTAGAATAAATTGTGTTCTTTTAAAGAATAGATATTTCCTGGTTCAAAATGGTTGCTATTTGTCAAACCTTTAAATATATAATTCAATATCGAAATAAAAATATATTATACAAAATAACGATGTTTTATTTTAATTAACCAAAAGTCTAACACCGTGCTTATCCAAAATGTAACTATAGAGTACATTTGTATATTATTAACATTCAAATAATGTAAAATTGTCACTCACTTTTTATAGTGGCTCCTACTATTTTAAAGTATACACCAAAACCATAGTAGCTTTAAAACTACATATATATCACCTACCGCAATATGGAGACAGTTAAGAAGTATGGAACATGTTTTACTAATTCTAGTAGTTAAGCAGCCAAATACTACTGAAAGTGTGTACTTACCGCTAATGGTGCCATCACGGTTTAATTCTTCAGGTAAGTTTTATATCCGCTTGGAAACTTTGATATTGACCAGATACCACTCCACTTATATTAGTTTTAGGTCCCCAGGTAGATTTTGTACTTGGTATGCAAGAGAGCTTGTGTAGCGGTCCGTTGGCAAGAGATGTCTTACAGCAGTGTGCGATAGATCTAGCTTACAATTCCAATATTTACTTTCAGCAATGAAACTGAAACTTGAAGCCTCCTCGGTTTCGTCGTGTGAATTGGAAGTGAAATTCACATCAACTTTCAAGGTGTTTATGATAAAATAATGGTTGTTTCAAATCAAAAGAAAAAAAACATATATTCTTTAAATTTGAAAATAAAAATAAACAGGCCAAAAAACTATACAATTTCATATGACTTTTACATGTGGTCCTCAATGTCCAGTCTCGCAGAAAACACCTGCATGTGCGAGTAAGTTCAGTAATCAAAGGAAACAACACGTGCTATGTTGACCAATGAACCGCTCCATATGAGATCAAGCTGTGAAGTGACCAGTCCATATTATACACGCTAGCAGCAGCGCTATTTCCTGCCTTCCGGGACTGGGTCTACTGCACTACTCACTCGATCGCATTCATCGGCTACCGTGCTTCTAGTCCCAGGCACAATCAGGCTCAGCGTCAGTAGCCGTCCACTGATAGCTCAGGATATGTCTGTAATTACACGTAACATCGACAACGCCTTAGTCCTCGTTAATTACAAACGGAGTAGGGAAAGGGACAATGGAGAGGGATGAGAACAGAGAGGGAAGGGAGGAGAGAGAAATAGAGAGAGGGGATACGTATGCAATTATTAACAGTAAACGGGAGGAGGGGAGATCGGGGCACAACAAGCTTAAGTAAAAAAATATGCATGTTCATTATGAAGCAAAAGAAAAAGAAATGGTGGAATAGGGCAATTAGAACCAAACATGCAATACGTATAGCTGAGAGGATAGAATGACGATGTAAACATAGCATGTCAGGTTATCTTGATCAATGATTTGTGCACAGATTACCGGCTTATACGTTCGGGATGGGAATTTAGGAAAAAACCAACACCTGCTGTTACCCACTGCATGATCGTAGGAGGCGATTAATGTGGACCCCCCCCCCCCCTACTTAGATACACGGGACACAAAAGCGATCGAAATACATCGTCTTATGAAATAAATCGTCTTCAGTACCCATTACAATATCATGGATCTTTATTTCTCTACTTAACTTTTCCCCCCAAGCACCTTGTTAGTTGTTAACTGGTTCAACCGTTATAAGTATAATGTGACCGGGCGGAGTGATGTGCTGGGTGCCGTCGGCATGGTATTTCAGCGAGATAGCCTGACCTGAACTGACCAATATCTAAGCAAACTAATTGCAAAATCGTACTCTGCCTTAGGCAGTCTCCTAGACATTGCAAAAGTAAAATTACTTGCGAACGTACGTCAAGTTCGTGCACAGGAATAGCGCTAACGAGTATCATCTATAAGCCTTTTTCTTGAAGCTCGAGCGACAAAATTGCAATTATTGCTAAAGTGACCTATGTCCGAATCGCATCTACATTTACGTTGAAGTCGTATTGACAAGTTCCTTATTAGGTGGACATGACACCATGAAACCAAACGTTTTAATTTACATTTATTACTCTATCTGATCTTCCTCTGTTTATCTCAGGGATTGAAGCTTGGAAAAATAATTCCTTACAGAATTGTCATCTTGATCAGGGTTTTTTCAAGTGCGAGTGTGATTTTATTTTTGTTAAATATATAAACGGAATCAGGCAATAAAGCAATTAAAACGGAAACCATGTTATTACAACATCGGAATTCAAAACAAGAGGCCCAATGGGCCTGAATCGTTCACCTGATATTCATCTTATACTTGTAATCTTAAAAGTGGACTTAAATACAGCTACAGGAAAAATACCAGTGTTTGATTGTAAGGAAGCTATTAAAAAATTTAAACATGTGACACATTTGACCTTGAAAGTCAAACAAGGACATTAAGTCCCAGACTTTATAATCTTTCATACCAGCATGCTTCTGGCCAAATATCATTACCCTGGACCTTTAGATTATTCAGAAGTTGTTTAAAGATTTCAACATATTTGACCTCTGTAACCTTGCAAATGGGTGAATGTCATTCATTTGAACAAACTTGGTAACCTTTCATCCAAGCATGCTACTGACCAAATAACATCACTCTGGTCCTTTTGGTTACATATATGTCGTTTACAGTTTTCAACATATTTGACCCTTGTGGCCTTGAAAATATCTCAAAGTCAATTATTTTGACAAACTTGTTAGCACTTCATCGCAGCATATTACTGGCCAGATATTGTCACCTAATGCCCCTTAGTTATTCAGAAGAAGTTGTTCTAAAGGTTTTAAACATATTTGACCCCTGTGACCTTGAATATAAGTCAAGGTCATTCAGTGAACAAACTTGGTAGCCCTTCATTCCATCATGCTACTTGCAAAATATCATCACCCTAGGCTTCTTGGTTATTCTAAAGAAGTTGTTTTAAAGGTTTTCAATATCTTTCACCCCTGTGACCTTTAATTTAAGTCAATTTCATTCATTTGATCAAACTTGGTAGCCCTTCATCCCAGAATGTAACTGGCCAAATATCATCACACTAGGCCTCTTGGTTATTCAGAAGCCGTTATTTTTTTAACATATTTGACCCCTGTGACCTTGAATATGAGTCAAGGTCATTCATTTTAACAAACTAAGTAGCCCTTCATTCCAACATGCTTCTGGTAAAATACCATTATCCTAGTCCTTTTGGTTATTCATAAGTTGTTTTAAAGAATTTTTAACATATTTGACCTCTGTGACCTTGCATATATGTCAAGGTCATTCATTTGAACAAACTTGGTAGCCCTTCATCCCAGCATGTTATTGGCCAAATATCATCACCCTAGGCCTCTTGGTTATTCAGAAGTTGTTAAAAGGTTTTAAACATATTTGAATCCCTGTGACGTTGACTTTAAGTTACGGTCATTCATTTGAACAAGCTTGGTAGCCCTTCATCCAAGCATGCTACTGTCCAAATATCATCATCCTCGGCCTTTTGGTAACTGAGAAGAGTATGTTTAAAGTAAAAAGATGACGCCGGACGACGGACGCCGCACCATGGCATAAGCTCACTTGCCTTTCGGGTCGAAATTAGGAACATGTGAAATGGTATTAAAGAGAAATGTTACCGTTCATTTCCTGCCCAAGTACATGGACAGACGACGAGAGGTTGACACAGGCAAATAAAACCTGTTGTGCACAGCTAGTATAAAGGTACGTGATGCAAATACTGCTCGCTTTGATTAATGTCGTAGTATATACCTTGCTTTTATCTGAATAACCCTTGGGGAATTCTCTTAAAATTGGATAAAAATAGAAAATATCGCTGATATTGGTAGAAGGCGATTTCAGATTGTAAAATTTTTCCGGCGGACATCTCTTCCCTCCCACCTGTACTCTACCGCCGCACATCCCTTCTCCCTTACCTGCACTCTCTCTGTCTCACATTATTCCCCTACCACCCACACATGCATTCTGCCTTCCTTACACTAATTCCCCTCCCACCTACTTTCACCGATTCTCTCCTACACTTGTATCTGCATTCTTCCAATTCAAACACCAACTTCCTGCGCACCGCAATTTTTACCCCATCATTATGGTACCTTGCTTTACACTCATCCCACAATTTGGCGCCACTACGGCGCTACCCTACCCACCCCTATCTACATGCTTCTACATCCTCATCTCCAGGATAAGTACCTGTCAGTGTAATGCAAAATTAAGCTGACGAAACAGTCGATAATCATGCCAGGAAAAATTGATAAGAAAAATGCGTGTTATATTGGCTAGAATAGTATGACGCAGATAAAAAAAATCTATCAAGGACAATCACCTGCAGGGCGCAATCAATATCTGGGAGAATTGATCTATATATAATTGTCCAATAAGTAATAAATTGTATATTTATCACTGACATTTCGGTATATTGCATGACGCGTAAATAGTTGTTTTCTATTTTATTGTACACCTTTGTTCAGTGTTGTATGGGGTTAAGGTCATACGGAGACTGGTTCTTGGGGACACCACCGGACTAATAGGGAGTAAAGCAATGAGGGGATAAAATATAGATCCCAACTGCTGCCATTGGGTACGCATAACATTTTTTTGTTTCTCTCGTGCCCCAGTTAGCAGAGGGCAAATACTAAAGAACTCATTGAAGGGCACACAATAATTGTTTTGCAGTGAACATTTTACCAATGTACTGTAAAACAATTTTTATTGACACTATTGTGTAAAAATATTGTGTCTTTCATTTTGTTTTCAAAATTCACTCCTTTTTACCTAAATTTCTATTTAAAATTCTTAAAATTCTGACAACCTATATTTTTTGTGGCAGAAAGCAATATAACTACAAAATTTGAAGAAATTCTACTGAGAAATGGTGACACAATCCTATTACCTTAATGTCCTCGCGGCAACCAGATTACCCAGGAGAAAACCCCAATACTCGCACAGGTGACCAATACCTGTTCAGGTCTGATGGGGATTGGTTTGGTTTTATTTTGTTTAACGTCCTTTTAACAGCTTAAGTTATTTAAGGACGTGCCTCCATATTTGTTGTGTAAGCGTGCATGTGTGTACGTGTGACGAAAACATGGATAGTTGGTGTTATTGCGTCCTTGTGATAGCGCGGATCTGATGCCGACTTTATAGAGCAATCTTACTGAAATACCATGCTAAAGGCACACAGCAAACATTTCCTCCCGGTCACATCATACTGACAATAGGTGAACCAGTTGTTGCCATTACCCATAATGCTGAACGTTAACAGGGAATAACTTCAGTTTTGAAGGACTATAGAACTGTATGTCCCGGCCTGGTGACAGAATCCATTGCTTCCCTACGATGGCCGATAGCGGCCGACAGAACAAACATTTTAGTAAAAAGTGTTTTGTCTGACAGTTTGTCAAATTATAAGTGGGCATTTTACACATTTTGTAAAAAGTGTAAACTGTCATGACACTTTGTCAAATCATGCATGGCAGTTTACTCATTTTACTTCACAAAATAAACATTGAGGGAGGAGGGGGATATGGAAATAGGTTCACATTCCAAGGGCTGAGCAGAACAGAGTATGCTATTCCAATGAACTTATTTACCTTTAACACAAATTACACGGATTAGACGGTATTTTTAATTGTTCATCGTGTACACGGAACAAGATAGAATTCCTTCTATGAAGTAAGTAAAACAATGCTGTTTAAAAAGTATTTATATTATAAATATATATGTATACTGTTTTGAATATGCAATCTGAAGGATTTATTGACGATCACAAGTTCAATACTGATGGTAGCACGAGACTCCACTGGCAGCAGGATAACATTTCTTGGTATGTTACACACCGTGTGCTTGATCTGAAGGTCACAAATAGGAGGCTAATAATTGTTTTGATAGAAATGATGGCATAGTCAAAGTCTGCATACTTTTTAACCGTAATGTTTGATATACTCTTTCTTGAAGATACAATAGTTCATACCATTAACTTAACTTATCCGGGAG